TTGCTTGAGCCCAGGAGTTTGAGGTTGCTGTGAGCTAGGCTGATGCCATGGCACTCTAGCCCGGGCAACACAGTGAGACTCTGTCTCAAAAACAAAACAAAACAAAACAAAAACAAAAACAAAACAAAACAAAACAGTAATCTTGTTTCATTTCTACCGCTACCACTTGTCCACACCTCCACCACTGCTACATTATTTTGAAGCAAATTCCAGCATATCATTTCATCTAGAAGTATTTCAAGATGTATAATTATGCTTTAAAATTGGTGCTTTAACCATTACCATAGCTAAAGATTAACCTAATTCCTTAATATCTGTTAGTGATCTTGTTTCCCTAGTTATCTCATAAATGATTTGGAAATTTGGGTTCTTTAAAATCAGGATCCCAAAATATCCACACTTTTGGTTGACATGTCTTTAAGTTTCTTTTGATATATTTTAATCTATACATTTTCCATCCCTTTTTAAATTTTACTCCTTGCAGTCTGTTTCCTACATTTCGAATTTTGCAGAATTTTACCCAGAGTTGTCTTTTCACACTTTCCTTAGTCTTCTGTATTTCCTTTGAATTGTTTTCTATAGAAAAAGATCCAGTCAAGTTCAGATTTATAGTTTTTTCTTGGTAAGAATATATTAGAGAATATATCGTGCTCTTCCATAAGGCAGCATATGATGCTTGGCGTCTCTCTTTTGGTAACCTCAAATTTGATCAGTGGGTTTAGGTACTATTGTCTTGATCTGTCCACCATTAAATATCCCACTAGCTTTTTTCCAGTAATGCTTTTGTAGCCATAGATGATCATTTGGCTTAAATCCATTACTTAATTTGTAGTTGTAAAATGGTGATTCTGTCATCTATTAGATAGAATGTGTATTGCATTTATTAGATAGAATGTGTCTATAAAGAGAAAATTCTCATAAGCATTGCCCTTTATGGGATTTTATGTAGGTGGTCTTTAGGCTGCATATTAAGAAAAAAAAATTACTCTGGGGATTTGGAGAAATAAAACACCAGGCAAGGTGTCATGGAATAGTGGCATTTAATCTGTGCTTTACACAAGTATAAGTAGAAGTAATAATAGAGGCTACATGGGATAACATTCTTGACAATGGAAATATAGTATAAGAAGTTAAGGTGAGGAAATGGAGGAACACAAAGGCATCCTTTGAGACCTGTAGGAAGTACTGGACTACCAGGGGTGAATCCTCTACAGGTCTGCATGCCACAGCTTCCCTTATACTGTGGAATTCTGCCTAATCAATTTCTTTCTTTAAATTACTTTCTTCAATTTTATTTCCATTGGCTCCTCAACATGTTGATAAAACAATCCTTCTCAATCTTCTATTTCTGGTTTTGTTTCCTTGTTTGTTTTTAGACCTACTGTCATTCTAACTTTCCTGTGTATGCTCCTTCATCAAACTATGATTGAGTTTCTACTGTGTGCTACTGTGCTAGTTGTGGAAAATGAACAAATTTAGTTCCCACTTTCAAGGAGCTCATCATCTAATTGAGGACACAGACAAGTCAGTGGACCTTATGATGTATTGATTTAAATGTTGCAGAAATTATATGCTTAGGATACTTAAAGGAGAACATACAAAACCAATTTCAGAAAGAAGAGAAGACAAGCAAGCTGGATTTCTTAAAGAATGAACATATGCTAATCATGTAGTCAAGAATAGTATTATAAGTCCTTTATGGTAGAAAACATGTATCAAGGCATGGGGGCAGTTAAAAAGCATGATCCATGAAGGAGCTGCAAGCAGGTCACTATGGCTGCTAAAGACACCAGCACTTTCTTGGGGATCTCTTCAGAAATCTT